TTCCTCATCATCCGCAATATCAACATCTACACTGTTAGAGGCCATAAACCCTGGGTCCACGTTGGTTGATGGAGGAACAGGAGCACAACCATCATTATCAGGATTGTCTCCTGCATTTAAAGCACAAATATGGATAGCATTGTGACAAAGGAATAGAATGAATAAAGAATAAGGAAAGCAAAAGTGTTACTAAATCACTTACTAGGATGATTCTAGATCAAAGGGATCTCCTGAGGGGCACCAACAACATCATCAGTCCCACGTTCTGCACGGACACCAGGACATACACCAACCTCATTCGGGGCGGATTGAGCATCGGGCACCACAACCACATCTTCCACATCCACCTCACAGTTGGGTAACAGAGGCTCAGAGGGTGCCAAATTCTCTGGTGCTGGCGACAACCCATGAGGGGGTGAATACCCATGAGGGGTGGGATCATTGGACAACTTCCGCACAACCAAATGCAAACATTGAAACTCATTCTTCATGACAGTTTTGACATATTTGTCCCATTGAGCCTCTGATGCAATTGGGACCAACCGCCTCAAAATTGTCCCTGACCTACCATGGTGAAGTACCCCCTCAACTAAGATGGCATCTTTATTTGAATTGCATTTAAACTTATCACGAGCCCTACCAAACAACTCAGAAAACAATGGCCGATCATCGAATATCACTGGCACCCTTTGCATTCCAACAAAACTGACATTCCCAAACTCATCTTTCTCCACACTTCCTCCATGATATAGGGTGACTACGTTGTCCATCTAGTTGGTATGCACAACACCAAAGTTATTATGGGTTTAACTAATATGGGTATAACTAAATTACATACATATAAAAGTTTCCGACTCTCTACCTAAATAAATAAGTATCTAATCTAAACCACCTATCTATCTAACTACATCTACTACAAGTACTACCTATATAACTAAATTACCTAACTATCTAACTATCTATCTAAATTAGCTAAATAAATATCTACCTAAATTAGCTAACTAAATTATATCACTAAATCACTAAATAACTTTAATAGCACATCATCAGTAGAATAGAACTAACAATCAAGGATAGTTCAAATAAGACAACAATACTATTCTCGATGTTGGGCTTATGCTTCCTAACAGCCACAAAAGTCTTCATTATATCATCTTCATTCGCACTGAAGAAAACATCATTACAAATTACTAATTGCTTGTGAATTTTACAAATTTGCATTCCTACCACATAGATACCAATGTGCTAGTACAATCCTACGTTCCTAGTTTCGTACCATATGGCTACCAGTGCGCAAGGCTGCTGCAAGTGAGATTAGTGAACTACCTCGCTGCTTGCCTGTCGGCTTGCTGCTGGGGTTGTCTGCTTCGCCGCCACTCCTTAGCTCCTACTCCACTCCAGTGCGGCGGTACGCCAGGTGGCCGTCGCAAGCCGCGTCGGCGAGCCAGCCAACCACCGGATTGCTCCTCCTCCCGTCCGCCCTCCCTGGCTTCCCCTCCGTGGAGGCATCGCGCCCTCCCTGGCTGCATGGCGGGCACCTGGGCGGCGGGGGTGGGGGCAGGGGCGGCGGTCGGTGCCTCCAGTGCTGGTGGCGGTGCCGCTGTGCCGGAGGGGGAGGAGGGGACGGCGCATCGGAGGCGAACGCGGTCTGCTGGCGGGCACCTGGGCGGCGGGGGCGGGGCCGGCAGCCGGTGCCAGTGGCGGTGCCGCTGCGCCGGAGGGGGGCGGGGGAGGGGACGACGCGTCGGAGGCAGACTCGGCCTGCTGCTGCGTGGCTGGCACCGTCGGTGGCAGCGGAGGAGGAGGAGGAGAGGAGAGGGACGGTGAGGTGACCGGCGCGCGGGGGATGGCGGGCGGTGGCCTGCTGCGGTGGAGCGGGCGGCAGCCGGCGGAGGAGGCGCGGGCGACGGCGGTGAGAGGGAAAGACAGAGAGCGTGAGAGAGGGAGAGATAGAGCGCGAGAGAGAGCTGCGGCGGCCACATGCGGTTATCCATGCTCGGCGCCAGAGTGCGTGGCGCCGAGCTCGGCGCCAAGATCTGTGGCGCCGACCTCGGCGCCATCTATTCTGGCGCCGAGGTACCGGCCACGTCAACGCTATCTAGGATGCCCTGTTGTGCTCGGCCAGGCATCTCGAAGCCAAGATCTGTGGCGCCGAGACGTGTTACCTCGGCGCCATGAGTCCTGGCACCGACCCCCAGGATCTCAAGATGAGTTTACGTCTCTCAAGGCGCCAAACATAAATTTTCTTGAAAAAATGGCCAAATTATAAAAAAAATGGGGACAAAAAATCAAGGTCCACGTCGAAAAGTTGACACCACGCTTCAAAGATCATAGCATTCTCTTTTGCGTGCCAAAAAAGCTGATGCATGCTCTTCTCCGGCTCCCCATCCTGGTCCTCTCCTTCCCTCTCTCCAGTCTCCACTGCACAAATGGGCATTGACGCAAGAACGTTCACCCTCACCGCCCCAAATTTTGCTAGCTCTCCATCATTAGTTACAACATGCAAAATGATGCTTAGAGTCTTAGGCTATTCTCTCCTTTTCTAGATTCACTTGGAGACAAATATTGTGGAGGGCCTTAGATTCCTAAGCCAGTTTGTCGCTTTTCAGTAGAACATAAGGCTAGTATCCTTTTTGTTTAGTACTACTTTTATTGTTTTAGTACTACTTTTATTGCAGCAAATGGTGCAATGTGACTGGAATGACTCGTGTCTCACCTATGCATCGCTCTAGGCTGGCTCTGAGGAAACAAAATCGATTTTGCGTTTCTCACGTAGAAGGCCTAGAGGCTTTTGCTGCATATAACGGGGCGGGCTCTGCATAAAAAAAAAAACGGGCCAGTCTCAGCTTTACGTACATGCTACCAATCACGCTATAAAACTCATACCACAATCAAGCTGTAAAAGTCATACCACGAGAGTTTTTTTTTTCCGAGGATACCACGGGAGGGATTGACTTATGTCCAATCTCTCATATGATGTTAACTAGGACGAGTAAGGAAACTGCTCCGGTACTCTTCTTTTTAAAAAGTTACACAGATCTCAAAGCATCCCATTTAATTTAAAATTATTTCTTAATTATTTTCGAACTGAGTAACCAATGGGCCAGTCCTGTCCAAACCCAACCCATTCCCAGCCCATATATAGTCCAAACTCATCTCTCCCCTGGGTGATCCGTTTGTTCGGTTCCAACATGTATCGTTTCCTCGTGGCGGCTGTGCTTTCCACGGATGTCATCTTCGCAGCGGCGTAGCGCACTCAAGCGATCACCCTCTCTTATTCGATCAATCAATCAACAGTGTTTTTCTCTCATAAAAATTCAGCACCAGCCAACCCAAATCAGCACCAACACCAACCAGCGAACGGGGTGATTAGAGGATGTTCGAATCCAATACTAAAATTTAGAAGGTGTCAAATAGGGGTGTTGTATAGGGTGTTCGGATACTAATAAAAAAACAAATTACAGAATCCGTCAGTAATCCACGAGACGAATTTATTTAGCCTAACTAATCAATCATTAGTACATATTTACTGTAGCACCACATTATCAAATCATGAACGAATTAGGTTTAAAAAATTCATCTAGCAAAACAGTCTCAATCTATACATTTATTTTTGTAATTAGTCTATATTTAATACTCCGTGCATACGTCAACCATCTCATAGGACAGCTACAAACACTCCCTCGGTCTTATCGACGGAGAGAGAAGGTCTGGCATCACATGGCGCAACACAGTACTTTACATTTAGCCTGTTCGCTTGTTGGTTTCAGCCAGCCTAAACCAATCAACCAACAGTATTTTTCTCTCACACCAAATCAGTACAAGTCAGTACAAACTAGCCCAGACACCGACCAGCGAACAGGCGTTTATCCGAACGAGATAGAAAAGGATTAGCTACAGGTACAACAAGTACAACAGTCTTTCGTTAGTCCCCATCGAACGGCTTGTTTATCGAGAGCAGGGATCCACCACGTGACCACATCCAAATCGCCCCAGCTCGCTCCAGCTGTTTGACACTAGAGTCCACATGCAAGTGTACACTTATCTGATCTGATCGTCAAGGCTTCACGTGCCTAGCAAACTGAGGTCCTCAGCCCTCAACGGCAATACGGCATGGAAACACAGAAATAGTTGAAAAGATATATGGGAATTTATTAATGTCCACCGCAAGATCGATGGTTTAGATGGATCGCAATAAAAACGCAAAAAATTGATGACACAAAAATGATTGTACAATGAAATTTTTCCAAGTGGTTGAACCTCTTGACAGAATTCCTCTAAAAATCCTGTGAAATACGTTCCAAAAGATTTTATACGAAAATTTTCTATTAGGATTCCAATAATTTCTCTATTTTTCGTTCGTTGCGGACAGGGAGGACCAAGCAAGACCACTGCAGCTGCACGTCAAATGAAACCCGTACAGTACATCTAGAACACCATTACAAGCAAAGAGTCAAATAGCAGAGTCCATTACATCACTGCATTGGCTTCGTTCAGCTTGCTGAAACTTAACTGAATTGGCTGAAAAACATCGTTCTGGCTGAATTATTATAAGAGAAAAAATACTGTTCTAACTAAAAATAATATTAAACGGAACACCCGGTGTGCACACCGATAATAATAATAGTAGTAGTAATAGTACGTAGCCTCGATTCGGTTCATGTTCATTAACATGGCTCACACTCACACTCACAGATTAATCCCACAACATCAACTTGCAGTGAAACCCATAGCATAATCACTCACTCGCAATATAATAATATAGTACGTAGCCTCGATTCGGCTCATGTTCATTGACATGGCTGGCTCACACTCATCAGAGATTAATCCCACAACAGCAACTCGCAGTGAAACCCACAGTATACTCGCTCGCAACATACTATAGGTCCATAGGGACGGGGAGGAGTATTATAATAATAGTAATTAGATTAGCTAGACATGTAATTAACCGAGAACGTCGTCGCCGCCGCCGCGCGATCCGCCAACCGGTATGCATGGTTTCAGTGGGCGCGGGGCGCCGGGGTGAAGGAGGCGAGCTGGCGGGTGCGGGTCCAGACCTGCTCGTACACGACGGCGACGTAGGGCACGGTGCGGCCGGCGGGGTCGGCGGCGTCGACGTAGAGGCGGTACCTCATCCCGGACACGACCTGCTCCTCGCCGCGCACCACGCGGCGGAACCGCAGCCCGTCGGCGGCCAGCCTCTGGTGCTTGGCCTGCCCCAGCGCCCACCCGCCCAGCTCCTGGATGTGCTTGTCGCCCACGTCCGGGATTGGGGCCCACCCGCCCAGCAGCGGGCCGCGCCCGCCGTCGCCGCCGTTGGCGCCGCCCAGCGCCGCGGGGCCGGGGACGGGGGCGAGCGCGAGGGTATCCAGGACGAGGAGGAGGAGGAGGAGGAGCGGGAGGTGGTGGCGGGGCGTCGCCATGGATGGAGGCTTGGGATTGGGTCGGAACTTGGGAGCGAGGAGGGAGGGAGGGAGTCGTGACGGGGTGGCGAGATCTGGGAGACGTGATTGCTTTCCCTGCTGGTCTTGCCGTGGAAGGCGGTTCGGGGCCACGGCATTTAAACGGCCGACTCATTTTCGGCTTTTCCTTTACCGTTAAGAAAGAAGAGAAGAATAACAATTGTTTATTCTTCTCTAATGAAACCGTGTGACGAGGCGACGGGAATTGGGGATTCTCGTGAGCCCTGACGCCTGTCGTACTCGAACCACATGCGCTCAAACACCGTCGCGCGCGGAAATCAGGGTGGCGGACTGGCGGTGGAGGTGGAGCACCTGGCCGACGATGGTTTGCGTGCCTGCATTTGCGTACCCCCTCGCCAAAATAAGGGAGTCAAACGCTTTTAATTTGACCAAATATATATAAAAATAATAATATTTAGCATATAATTAGTATCACTGATTAGAACGTGATTTTTATAATAAACGTATTTAAAAATGTAAATATTGTTAATATTTTTTTATAAATCTAAATAAACTTAGTGACACTTATTTTGGAGGAAGGTAGTACAAGGATTTTCTTTTTAAAAAAACAAACATACGAGGGGAGTAGACGAGTCGCTGTCAGTCTGGAGGAATGCGAAAAACTGAAAACTTGTAATAATAAGAGAATAAGAAATCAGAACGTGTACAAAATTCAAATAGGATCTATGACATTTTGTGGACTGTCAACGAGAAATGGTGGCAAAACATTTTTTTCTTGAAAAGTTCTGACGACACACTTTGTTGCGGGGCGACGGATGCGTGCGCCCAGCTCATGGCTCAAAATCTAGTTTACCTAGCTCGCGATATGATGCTGAGGGGGGCTGGCCGTGTTGCTCATTTGAGATCGTCGATATCCTGCTCGTTCTTGAGTGAGATTGCGTGCAGAAGGTAACCACTTGTGCTCTATCCTACTATGTCCATTGTTTCACATGTAAACATTGATCTAGTTCAATAGAGATGTAGCTTTCGTAAAAAAACACTTTTCAAAAAGCTTCATAGAAAAGTTCCAAAAGCCAGTCTAAAAGAGCTTCTATGCTTTTAATACAAAAGTATACCTTTTTAAACTTTTGTTTGCTTTTTGAGAAAGCTTCTAGCTTTTTGAGCTTTTTAGGGGAGTTGGTAGCTTTTTGAGATTCTTAGGAAGCAAAAGTTGTCAAAAGCTCTCGAAACAAAGTTATTTTTCACCTAGTAATATATTGTTGTCACGACATCCTTCTTATTTCAAACATAATTTCTCGATACAAACCTCACCAATATTTTATTTGATGTGTTTGAAAGACATGAGCTCACTATTAAAAGAAATTGCTTGTTATTTATCTATATCTTATAGGTCAACATGTGCTTGACTAACTAGCATCGGACTCAAGCACATTAGACAATATTGAGACATGTGTTGTTAGTCTGCACTCGATCATGATACTAAGGCGAATAAAGACCAGAGGCAAACCTCAACCATTAAACCTACGAGAGGCCCTCCCAATTATTCTCCCTTCCTTTATTCTTCTCTCCCTTTCTTTCTCTTTCCTCTCCTTTACCCTAAAAAATGGATGAGGGAGGGGGACGAGGAGGAAGGGTCTGATAAAGCAGGCACTCCATTATTTGTGGGTTGGTAGGAGGGGCACAAACCCCTCCTGCTAAGCCCTAATCAAAGATTATAGCATATACATCTACATCTATGTACCTAATATTAAAAGGAGAAATTTTCTTTCTGTAAATTTTGGCCCATCTCTCTCTCCCTCTCTCTGTTTGTGTCTCTACTGCTAGGAATATTCACTTCTATGATAAACAACTTTCGTCACTGAAGGAGCCAAATTCGTCATAATTTCAGTTCTATGATGAATTTATGACGAAAACCACTTCGTCATAGAAGTCGCGTCACACTTGAACATCCATGATGAATCCAAAAATATCATCATAGAATTGTCTTATCTGTGACGAAAAATAGACCGTCATAGAACTGTTTTGGCATGCGTGGCAGGGGCCTGCCATGCTAGTGGGTGCTTCCGTTGGAGATACTTTTCCACGTGTACATGTTATAGCCCACATGTGCATGCTATAGGTGGTTGCATTGGAGATGGTTCGGTTATGTATCATGTTCTTATTGCACAACGTGGCCATATCTGATTCTTGCACATTTTAGATTCTTACTGGACCACGTGTCGGGTTCCTATTGTTCTACATATCAGTTTTCTATTGACACACGTGTCGTGTTGTGGTTGGATCAAGTGTCACTTCTTCATTGGATCATGTGTCGTATTTTTATTGGTCCACGTGGTCGTTTCTTATTCAAACATGAGTCACGGCGCTATCTGTTCACGTTTTGTATTTTTATTCGGCCACGTGGCTTCACGACTTCCTTCCACGTGTTGGATTTTAATGGCCCACGTGGCGTATCCTGGCTATTTCACGTGTCATGCACTGGTTCATCCATGTGTCGCATTTTTATTTGATCATGTGGCCTGTCCTAGTTCTACCGCGAGGAGTATAATCAATTTGTCATAGAAGTAATTCGAGATCATCACTACTGCATAGATTGACTACATAACTATTTAGCCTGGTAATCAAATAACAACAATTAACATTTCACACGTCAGCAGTGAACCACTAACAGGGTATCACCACATCAAACTGGCATATGAGTCCACACATCAAACCAGCAAATGAGTCCATACATCAAACCATAAATGTTCACTGCATCAAGCCACAGGAGTTGAAGACTGAGAGTTATCAGAAGAGCTAAAGCACGTGCATAGCTCACGGAGATTATTGTACTCCTCCTGTTGCTGTTTCTTGTATACCTGCAACACCCTTTTAGTCTTTTTTGTCTTCCTCTTCAGTTCATCCACTTGATTAATGAGGGCAGTGGAACTTTCCTGTTCAGCAACAAGCTGTTCCCGAAGCATTCTCTCCGCCGATGTCTCTGTTCTGGTGGAGCTTGTCTGGATACTTGCATTCTTCAAAAAAAGGTTGTTGCCGCTTCCCTGGGAGGGGGCCTTGCCCTGGTAGATGCAGAGGACCTTGCAAACAACATCAACACTAGTCATTAGTTGCTGCCCATCAGCAACAGGTTCTGCTTGACATAGTTTTCATAGCTTTTTACGAAATTCAATTAGTAAAACATTAGGTTACAGATAGTGTAAGAGGATTTCAATTAAAACCCCAAGAGATTAATTCATAACAAGTAATGCATAGGTCTTCCTTAGCCTACTGCTGATAGAGATTACATAAGCTTTAGTAGATTTTAGTAGATTTCCATAACACTAGGCTCCTGCTATGTTTCCTTCTTTTATGGCAATAGCTTCAGTAGATTTCAAGGGAAACAATAGAAGGTACTTACAACTGCTACTCTTACAACATCGCTTAGGCCCTTTTTGCTACTGGTATGGAAGTCCCTAAAGACTTCCACAGCATTAACATCTTCATTAGGTGGACCATTTTCTTCTTCAAGTCCTTGATCATGTTCTGCTGCCTTCCTCTTGTTCTCGTTCTGTTCTCATTGCACATAAGTTTCAGTTTATATTTATACAAAGGTAAGAGTAACAATAAAACACAACCATCACTTACAAATTTTTGCATCTGGACAATATAGGAGAGAGATCCTATAGCCTGGTGGTACTTCACTTTTGCACGGTTTCGCTTGTTCTTCTCAGATGTTTCCTATAGCTTCTTTTGTGTTAGACTACAGCACAAGTAGACCATAACAAGACTAGACATGAAATCGATGGGTTCACACACCTCGTTCTTAGCACTAGACCAAATCTTGACAAGTTCACACCACTATGTATCGTTCATGGACGAGACAAGAGAGGTCATACAGATCTGATCAGTAGGGACGCCAATGAAGTATTTTTTCTTCAACCTGTAGCGTGCCTGCCGTACCATAGACTGCATTACATTCCGACAAGCTTCTTTTGTTGGTGAGTGAGCACCGTTAACACGTAGCCTTCACTGCACATAGTAGTGTGAATGAAAAGTAAATCCGTTAAAGTTGCTCAAAGCAGAGTTGAATGTCAAGAGGGGATACCCATACATACATTTAGCCTACCCACAAATCTTGTGCAATAGACGGCGCCGGGCCTCTGCCCCTTGTATTATTTCTAATGTGTCAAAATTGGTACTTCATGCTTGGCTACTACAACTGCCTCTAAGGCAAACTTGGCAGCTTGCACTGGATCATGTGGCCTTCTATTCCCCTCGGCAACAGAGATGGGCATCCTCAATCCTCCTAGTGATTTGCTCATTTTGTCAAACATAATTCCATTAGTTTGAGGCCTCGACTTCCTCGCTCCTCCCGGCAATGGTACTACATAGTTTTCATACATTCAGATTGTTAGAAAGGTTACATGGATATTAAATAGCTAGTGTGAATTGATTCATCGATATCTGTAAGGTAATACCACATTGGCAACTTTCATCGTTCTACGGGTGGAGGGAGACGGGAGTTTGCTGAGAGGGCTCCTCTTTGGTATGGCTATCATCATCTGGCCGTGAGGAGTCTCTCACAAGGCTAGGTGGGGTGCCATCCTGATAAATGTCTCCAGTCAATTCATGAACTTGGAATTGATCCCTAGGTACGGGTGTTAGTCGAGATGGAGAATTATGTTCACTTACCACTGCTACCTCCACCATTTTGCTAGCGGTAGACCTCGAGTACAAAATCCATGAGCAGCCTATTCTGGTGGTGTTGACCTCACTCGCTTGGAGGGCCTTCGCCCAGGACTCATGGCAGTGCTGCCTTTTGTCCTGTTGGTAGAGCGTCCCCTATGGCTTCTTTGACCTGAACACTGAAATTAGAGATACAAACTTAAGCAGGAAGCATGTACAAATTCCATTACTATCCAAACAGTAAAGCATTGCATGACTACCTATCCCCCTCCCTCTCTGAACTAAATACAAGATAGAACATGGTCCTCAATTGATAAGGGCACTGGCTCATCTTC